ACGCAGATCAGCAACGGGGAGCACCATCAAAGATGCAACGCGTCTAATATTGTATAATATAGGTAATCGTAGCAAAGTCTCCTTGCGACTAAAAGTTACAGGCCGATTATAAAGAAAAAGAGAAATATAATATGCACACTCTCATTATACCAGAAAAAGTATTATCTTTTCTTTATTTTTTAAAAACGTTAAAAACACACTTGGATTTCCTCCTGTATCGTGGAGGCCTTTTACAAACATATATTGCACAAGGATTAACATCCAGACCCGGAACAATTTGTAGGCCGTACTAATTACAGTACAGGATTTGAACCTGCGTCCCCCAGCGATGACACTCTTTTCTAAGCCACTGCGCCACGGAAACATTAATATAAGCTAGTAGTACCCATCAGTTACTCGATTCCACAGAGTCAAAAATTCATGTTTGAGGCAATGTATACGCTTTTACAACAAAATCACAGAAAATGTATAATATTATGATAAATTGTAACTTGAACATAAGAATGATTTTCAATAATTATTATTTACAATCTAGATTGAATACAAAACTTTCTATTCTACAATTTCTGTTTCATAATATTGGCTAAATTGGATTCATATAATACGAAAACAAACACAATTATATTCTTTCGTAAAAGCTTCAGCCCGTATTGCCATCTAGCGGACGCCTTGTAATCATTCTATTACTTTCCCTAATCGACACAATCCCACATGCACATGACAAGATGGGTGTTGGGTAATTTCATGTCGAAAACTCACGATGATTTATGAACTAAATTTTGTTAAAATAACATGCATTTTCACATTTTGTTACAAAAATGTTTATATTGCGTAAAATATATCAAATTCCGCTAAACAACAACTTTCCTCGGTAATAGAATTCCTTTACTGTCTTAGAATCTATTTGAAAGGGTACCACATTTATCGCTATTATTTCTATATGCTATCTTTTCGCTATTTCAGCCGCCATCCAGCATTGCATCCAATGTTTTCTTTCGATTTGCGGGGTATGGAGATCCCGTATAGTCTATAGGGGTATTTAATAAAATGTTCTTTAGACACAGTGCAAGGCATGCTATTTTAGTCCGTAGAGGTGAAAACGCGCATGTGATATTCTTTGTACGAGGTTATTTGCAGGTTAGATAGGTTGTAATTTATAAGGTATTTATATTAGGGCACATAATAATGAATTAAAAAAATCTTAGAATGGAAAAAACTTAAAAAGTAATAATAAAGACCGAATAAAAAGCAAATTATTGTCCATATTATAATTAATTAGCGTGTTAAATCGGATGTGGGCAATTGTGGGCGAGGCGAGGACCACCTCGTTGGTCACAACACAGGCTCACAACTACCAAGTTGGATGTGCATGCAGTACGTCGAATGTGTAGTACGTATTGCGGTACGTACAACGGATTTATATCTTCCTAAACAGTGAACGAAAATAATCATTGTTATCAAAATCGTCTAGCAACAGAGTTACAATGAATTGCATTATTTAGACCGTGTCGTGGTCAAACAAACCAGAAAATGGGCAATAGCGTCTTCCTAATAGTAACTGAAAAATGTAACGTATTCTTATTTAAAAATAATACTTATTTAATGAATACGTTACAGCGTAATAATAGTACGCGTACTTGTACATATAGAAGTCAGTGGCATATTTTATTCATATTTTATATATTAATCTATGTATGTTCTTAATGATATCTTATATGCGAATACAAGTATAAAAATATAAACATTGATAAAAATATTTTTACGGATTTTATCGCGTTTAATTTTACTCATTTTCAATTCCCGACGTTTCGGGTGCTTTATTCAATATGCTTATTCTTCCCCCCTTTTTCATTAGCTCGTTCAATCATTACAGGTAGTCAAAAGGCCACAGATTACCTCATAGCTTTACCATAGTTGCCACGCTTCACGGGTTGGCCACCGTAGTTTTTAATTTTTTTCAGTTATTATCAGGCAGATTGTGCCGCACTTCTCTTGTTTCCGTTTCCTTCCGTCGCCTCTTACGATACCCATGGACGGATGATACTAGATACTGGATTCTTTCACGCTCACACTACAAAATTTGGCGCTTTCTAGTAGTATCAAAGAATGTGCCGAGCCCGGCGATTTGATGAGCAAAGTGCTCATTTCATTGAACTGGTAAAGATGCGGTAGCATTGGTTTTGTAACGTATAGGTTTTAAATTTGCGATTTCGGATTTTGCTCCATCAGTCAATCTCCGGGGTCTCGCCTTTAGAGGGAAAGTTGATATATTTAAACTAATACCTAAATACAACTTTTAATTATTCTCTTTCCAAAATATTTTAATAACACTCTGTTTGTTTTTATGTATGTTTTATGTATGAATGTTTTAAAAAGATCTCCGTGACGGAAGCTATTTTTATAAAGTTAGTTCTTATTTTGTAAAAGTGTGTAACAACATTGTAAAAAATTAAACTTAATTTAACCTCTTCGGTTATGGCTTATGGCAAAAGAAATAGTATAAAAACCGGTCTATAAAGCATAGTTTTTCTTAAGCGATACACCTAAATGAAATAATTAGTAATAGCGTCGTTACCCTGTAAGGTCTTTCGACGGTGAAACAGGCCAAAATGCAGCGTGGGTCTACTACATAAAGTAGTTACTTTACTAATTAATAGCATTGAATTATAACATATTATGTTTTATTATGAGTTTAGATATGCATGGTATTTATAAATAAATTATTTCATACTGTACATTTAAAAATAAGTTTTAATTTTATTTTAATTTAAACACGTGGTAGAGCCATGCTGCAGCTATATTACTGGTATAGTTCTAGCCCGAATGGGTCGGCTCGACCGGGGAAGGACCACGCTCTCACAGAATACCAGCGTAAAATAGCAGCTTCACGCTGCTGTGTTTCGTATGGTAAGTGTAGAGAACCGGAGATCCTTTTTACTGGAAACGAGGCATTTCATCTTAGTCCTCACTGGTGACAACGCATCTGCATTTTAATTCGTAATGGAGGATAGATGTAGATGTCTATGGGTCACAGTAACAACTTACCATCAGATGGACTGTGTGCTCGTTTGTTACTAATCATATTTAAAAATAATTAACATGTTTTATAATTTATTTTCACCTTCCTTAATACGTTTTTTTAATTTATTTATTGAAATACAATAGTACTTAGCATGTCAAAGGTATACCTAAACATAATATTAAGTAAGAATTATTATAATTAAAATCTATGTAAAGTACACCTTTACTTGTGATAGTTATCACAACCCATGGACTTGTTCCGATTTAATTTAAAAGTGCTAAGATAACAACAGGTTCAAAAATCGTTTATATACCAGTTCTAAAGTCACTAACTTATCTACTCTGCTTGGTGAGAATGAGCAAATCATCCAAATAATGCATCTCAGCTAGTTCAGCTTCTAAGAGAAGATGTTTAGCAGTGGACTAAAATCTAGGCTATTAGTATTGTTGTCGGATAGTGATTACACTACAGATAATATAATTAGATTAAGGTGCAGCATCAGAGCAGCAGAATACCTATCGTCACCACACCCAGACCTTTACAGCAAGTTTTGTAGATTTAGCAAAAATTTATGATGTTAAATTGATATACAATAAAATTATTTATTTATTTTATTATTTTTGGAACTTACAATATGTAAAAAATATTAATACGTACAATTGGTCATTCTTTAATCATTTTGTATTATTTTTACGTTTTAATCTCGCTTGTTTAGATAGATTTAAAGAAATTATGTTTAAAAGCATTTACCATAAGCAATATCTGTAAAATAAGGTTTCTTGTGAGAGATGATTCAAAATGTGAAAAAATTTATAATTTAGAGTAAAGTAAAAAATAGAAACATTTTAAACACTACTGGTAGATGTAAGATATAAATTTTAGTGATTAAAATGTTTAATAAAATTAGTCAAAACTTTATTTTGTAAACATAGGTACTTTTAACAGTGGTAGAGCCAGGCGGCAGCTTTTGCTGTCGCACGGATGGGCCGGCTCGAACCGGGGTGGTACCACGACCTCACAGAATACCAGCGTGAAGTAGAGGTTTACCTCTGCGTTTCGCTTGGTGAGTGCAGGTGGCCGGAGGCCCTTTTTACTGGAAATGAGGCATTCCATCCTAGTCCTCACGGGTGACAACGCATCTATATTTTGATTCGCAAATGAGGATAAATGTAGATGTCTATGGGCCACAGCAACCACTTACCATCAGGTGGACTGTGTGCTCGTTTGTCACCCTATCCTATAAAAAAAACTTACATATTTTTAAATTTAGAGAGCGACCATGATATTATTTTTATCACTTCAACTGTGACCAGTCGCTTTGACTGGGATCTACGTTCATTCAAAGTCCGCAAAACAGAATGCGTGCGAATGATCTTTTAAAGCTCCGTAAAAAAATAATTTATTGTAATAAGTCGTCGTGAACATTCGCCATCGCTCGGCTCATCTCACCCCGCGTCCCTCGCCGCTACCTCACCGAATAAGCGTGTATTCAACACGACTGCATTGCCTCTGCTAGTATTCAGTTTACTTGCCGCAGCGTCGAGGGTCGGCCGTACCACTCGACGCGCTTAACGGGCGATCGTGTCAGTAAAGCCGCGCTTATCATTACGTAGTTTCACATAAACCTTTCGAACTTTAATGTGTCAACGAAAATAAATAAAGAAACTAACAATATATTTCAAAATTTAATATCGTTATCACTGTGGTGCAGGAACATTGAAAATAATATGTGATTTGTTTGTGACAACAATCAGTTACGTTAAAAAAGGACCGTAATATAAACTGTGCTAAATTAACACATCATGTGTATTACAAAATTATGGACTATTTATTACTTGACGCCTAAATAAGATCTCTAAATTGATGGATACTACATATCCGGCAAGGGGACGCAACACACGAATGCCGACGGAAAAAACATGACACTGAGCTTGCCGTGCCTTGATTTCCTTCTTCCTTGATATTTGATTTCATCGCAATGGCTCTTCAGCAAGGATCTTCAAGAAACAAGCGTTTTGGTCAAATATTATTTTGGATCGTTATTGGATTTAACGTTGCCGATCAAAGTTCACTGCCATTGAAATACGAAGCACCTGATGATTGTCAGTGGTGGCTAAGAGGACCAAACGACGCCCACGAAGTTTCCCTTACATGTAAGCTTCGTACTATAAATAGTGAGTTTGACACGACTAACTTTAGTGTCATTCCGTCAGAGCACACAACGTCACTAAGGATAGAGTGTAATGAAGAAATGATGTATAAGAGTTCATTAGATGACAGAAGTTTTGCGCATTTAGTAAAATTACGTGAACTTGTTTTGGATAACTGTAAAATTGGAAGATGGCCGCCTGGCGTGCTTTCCGGTCTTAAAGATCTTCGAAATTTAACGATTCGGACGAAAAACACCGAGTGGGCTGCTATGAGTTTGGAGATAGCATCTGAAAGTTTTACAGCTGTACGGCATTTGGAGAAGTTAGATCTTAGTTTTAATAATATTTGGTCGTTCCCTGAAAACCTGTTTTGCCCATTGACTAATTTGGTTTATTTAAATGTGTCTTCAAATCGACTGCAAGACGTAAGCGATCTGGGTTTTAGAGAACGAGCAGTGCACCAGGCTTTAATAAGTGACCAGGATGGACCAGCACCATCGGCATCATCTATGTCCCATGCATCGTGCTCATTAGACATAGAAGTCTTAGACGCCTCGAGCAATCATTTTGTGCTTATGCCAGAAAATGGGTTTATGGCTCTGCGAAGGTTAAAAGAATTGCACATTCACGACAATGAAATTTCAATGGTTGCCGATAAAGCTTTAGCAGGCTTAAAACTATTACAAATAATTGATCTCTCCAATAACAAAATCGTGGCTCTCCCTCAAGATTTATTTAGAGATTGCAGACCTGGCATAAAAGAAATATACTTACAAAATAATTCCATAAGTGTACTTTCACCGAGTCTTTTTGCCAACTTAGACCAATTGTTAGCGTTAGATTTATCTAACAATCATTTAACAAGTACCTGGATAAACGAAAATACATTCACCGGCCTTATAAGGATGGTATTGTTAAACTTATCCAACAATAGGCTAACGCTGTTGGATCCGAAAATATTTAAAGATCTTTATACATTGCAAATATTAAATATTCAACATAATATGTTAGAGAGCATTGCTGCAGATACATTTGCACCCATGAGTAACTTGCATACATTAATTTTGTCTTATAACAAAATTTCTCACATTGACGCCTACGCTCTGAACGGTTTATATGTGCTATCTTTACTATCGGTAGATAACAACCGCCTCGAAGAATTGCATCCTGAAGCGTTTCGCAATACGTCATCTTTACAAGATTTAAATTTAAATGGAAATCGCCTTAAGAAAGTGCCGATTGCATTAAGAAATATGCGGTTATTGAGAACTCTAGATCTTGGAGAAAACCAACTGACTTCATTAGAAGAGCATAGCTTTGTTGGATTACATAATGTATACGGATTACGACTTATTGGAAACAAAATAGAAAATATAAGTAAAGAGGTATTTTCGGACTTACCAACGCTGCAAATTTTGAATTTAGCACGTAATAAACTAAAATACATCGATACGAATGCCTTTGAAACATTGACTAATTTACAAGCCATTAGACTGGATGCAAACCAACTCACAGATATTCAAGGCTTGTTTGTAAACATACCATCATTGTTGTGGTTGAACGTGTCAGATAACCAAATAGAGTGGTTTGATTACGCTGTTATTCCTCCTGCTCTTCAATGGCTAGATCTTCACAGTAACAACATCAAGGAGTTGGAAAATAACTACCGTCTAGATAAAGAACTGCGTTTACAAACCTTAGACGCAAGCTTTAATAAAATGACAAAAGTCTCTGCCTACTCTATACCCAGCAGCGTAGAGCTCTTGTTCCTAAACGATAACCAAATTACACAAGTTGAAGCTCAAACTTTTGTTGGAAAAACCAATTTAACGAGAGTCGATTTGTATGCAAATCAGATAACTAGTATGGATCTCAATGCGCTTCGGCTAACACCGGTCGATCCAGGGCGGCCCCTGCCCGAATTTTATATTGGCGGAAATCCTTTTCAGTGCGACTGTACAATGGAGTGGCTACAGCGAATAAACAAACTTGATCATCTTAGGCAACACCCCCGTGTAATGGATCTAGAAAGTATATATTGCAAGTTATTATATAATCGGGAAAGGACCTACATCCCTCTTATTGAAGCAGAATCGTCGCAGTTTTTATGTACATACAAAACTCACTGTTTTACATTGTGCCATTGTTGTGATTTTGACGCTTGTGACTGTGAAATGACGTGTCCATCGAACTGTACGTGCTACCATGATCAGCCATGGTCGGCCAATATTGTGGATTGTTCTGCCGCAGGGTATGCTGAGATACCTAATAGTATACCTATGGATGCTACGGAGCTGTATTTAGATGGTAACAATTTTGGAGGTTTAACAAGTCATGCATTTATCGGCAGAAAAAATTTAAAAATATTATATGCAAACAACTCTAACATAGACGCTTTGTACAACAATACATTTAGTGGACTAAAACGCTTAACTGTACTGCATTTAGAAAAGAATAATATAAAAGAGTTACTCGGTTTCGAACTATCTCCTCTAGAGAATTTGCGAGAGCTACATTTGCAGGACAATAAAATACATTACATTGACAATCGAACCTTTATGGAATTGAGGCATTTGGAAGTGTTACGATTGGAAGGAAATAAAATTTACAGCTTCGCCGTTTGGCAGTTCACAATGAACCCATATTTGGTCGAAATAAGTTTATCACGCAACGCTTGGTCATGTGACTGTCAATATATGCACAAATTTCGGAACTGGTTTAAAAGTAATTTAGGCAAAATTGAAGATGCGAATAAAATAACGTGCATTTTTGACAACGTTACGAACGCTATTGGACCACTTATGGCCGATTTTAACTCAACAGTGTGCACAAGTCATGTTGGTGGAAGCTCATCTATTATCGAGAATCAAGTAATAAATGATTACCTTCCGCTACTATTGATATCGCTCTGCGTCTTTGTCTTGAGCTCAGCCCTAATATGTGGCGTATTTTATTGGCGGCGCGAGCTCCGGGTCTGGGTGTACTATCATTGCGGATTCAGAATGTGTTATAAAAGCACCGCATTCGACGAAGAAGCCGACAAAGATCGTCTTTTTGACGCCTACATTAGCTACAGTGTAAAGGATGAGGCGTTTGTCGCTCAAATGTTAGCGCCCGGCCTAGAATCATCCGACCCCAGTTTCCGGCTCTGCCTACATTACCGTGATTTTAATGCCTCAGCTTATGTCGCGGATACAATAATAGAAGCAGTTGAGTCTTCTAAAAGAACCATTATAGTCCTATCAAAAAATTTTATTAACAACGAATGGTGTCGATTCGAATTTAAAACAGCGCTACATGAGGTGTTAAAAGAGAGACGAAGAAGACTGATAATCATATTGCTCGGTGAACTGCCTAATAGAGACATTGATCCGGAGCTTAGGTTGTGTTTAAAAGCAAATACGTGTATAGAGTGGGGTGATAGACAATTTTGGCAAAAGTTAAGGTTCGCGATGCCGGATTTGAGAAAGTGTCAGTATCATCGTTCTACTGTAAATATTTACGCATCGGTGTCACCTGTGGGGGCAGGGCGGGCACCGGCACCGCCTCCGCCCCCGCCACCGGGCAAGCTGCCTCCTTTGCTTGGTGATGGCCTGGCCATGCCAGCTGGTGTCCACACACGCGACCCCCACACCCATCGAATGCCGCCACATGCGCAGCTTTGGGCGTAGCGTATGCTCCAACGCAGGTAACATACAGTTCTTTCTGCAGCGCATAAGCGTATTAGTCCAACGAAAAGTGATAATTACATTTAAGTTGTTCAATAATCTGTATTTATTGTATATAAGTTGTAAGATTGCATTTATTTGAGTACATTATGGTGCCACATTGTTTTAAGTTATGGATTAAATTCCTACCTTCTGCGATAATATTTTTAGGTTATGAAGTATACACAGTTGTAAATACAAACTAAATATTATTAGTAAAATATCTTCAAATCTGGATCACATAAATTATAAAATGCCAAAGTTGTAAACTTTTAAATCGTTGTATAAATTCTTTTATGCAGTTAGAGAATAGTGACGATAATTTTCGTATAGATGCTGTAAATAATTATTAATAGATTTATGTTATTTCTGTATATGTTTGTAAATATGAAAAGAAAAAAATTATGAAATGAGAATTGAAATATACACATTTTTTGAAATTTGATTTCTTTTTGTTTCATTTCTTTAATTTCCATTTATTTATAGTAAGTTTTCGTACATTTATTTATTTTTTCACTTTTTACATATATACATGACATGATTTTCAATTTCTTGAAATCGATACTATAGATAATATGAAATCGTTTATAACAAAAATTAAAGGTTTTTTAAAACTTCAATAGAAATCTTTGAAATTAAGATATAAAAAAATTACATAAAGAATATGTAATGATAAAAAAGATGTAAAGCTTTCTTAAAACGTTCATTAATTATATTAATATGAATAAATCATACAAGAATTTACTGCGCCGTCTTGATGATAATGATGATGATAATGATAATAATAAAGATTTAATAATAATTTGTTCCGTAATACCTAATGGTGCGAACATTACCGCAATCTAAACAGTTTCAATGTAACGCATTTTATGCAATTTGATATAAATGCAAAGATTACCTGTTTCAGTTGCTAATAAATTAGCTAAAAAAGATAGGTATCGCAGCAAATATTATATTTACAAACTTTAGGATAATTCCCAAGCATTTACGGATAAAGTTCGGTAGTAATGTATTCTAAAACTTCGTGGTTATATCCTCTATTGTACTGGTCGCTAATCTTAATAAATTACTTAATGTGATTGCCGAGTTATCTGGCTAATTTTATACGACTGTATTTATATTGTGCTCCATCTGGTGGTGCTACAAGCGAGTCCAACACCAAATTTTTTTTCTGAGACACCATTTGAAGGACTAGCAAATACCACAAATATCACAGACCTCCGACACACGCTGACATGCTCGAGATAAAAAATACCACGATTAGAGATCAGAGGAGCATAGTCAAAGGTTCGAGGCGTTATACTGCAGTCATCAGTTAACCTGCCAAACGTAGCGATCGAAGAATATTTCTCCCTCCCTTATGTATAATGAGAGTAGCCCAAGTCTTATTTTATAAAAAAGTTAAATTATATAAAATTGTTAAGTACCTAAAATCATATCATTAATGTAATTTTACATAACAATAACAACAACATAATATTTTGAAAACAATATAGGAGTATATCTGCAAAAAGAACCATTTTTATTCGGAGCTCTTGTCAAATACTTTATAAGTATCTAATATTTAAATTAAATAAATGTACATCAATAAGATAATATAGTAATGTTTTATTCACATACTGAAGTAATATTTATACGCCTCCATGGCGCAGCAGCTTATCAGTGAGTTACAGCACTGAGAGGCGCGGGTTTGAATCCCGAAGTATTTTTATAGCCTACAAATAATTGTTCCGGGTCTGGATATTACCACGATACAGGAGAAAAACTTAGTGTCGGATGACGTTTTCTTAAATAAAAAATTAATTTTATAATTTTAAAATAATTTAACTGAAATGAAACTTAAAAGGTCTACGATAGAGGCTTTATTTATCTTTAATTGTTAAAAGTATGTTTATGTGATAGCATACAAGTAACCTTAAAAGTAAAAAAAAAATCAATAAATTGGATTTTATCCGTGTTGTCACTATCAACAGCCAGCCATAAAGCCACTTTTGGACGCACTCCGAGTTGATTTGACTACAAGTCTCTTCAAATGTACAAAATAAATGAATCTAACCATTTTTACTAGAAAGAAAAATTAAATTTATTTAAAATGGTATATAAAAGATGATCGGGATGCTCGATATCTCAAATAACTTTACACACATAAAAAATATCCACGTTATATAAATCCAGCAATATCCACTTCGATCTTTTCGACAGCAACAGCCACTCGTGAACTCATGAAACTGCTATTATCTCAACGCAGACAAATCAAAACGAAATCAACATCGATTATTTTTGCCATTTGCACCCTTATCAAAAACGACGTCGGCGGGTCAACATAGGAATAATGGGAAAACTTGTTTTTACGAGCCCGTAGCGAAAGCGGGGCGGTCTGTCGCTAGATTTTATCGGATTCTATATATCTACTCTTCCAGTATTTATGAATGGAGATAGATAACCTATTGGTAAGAGATTTGAGCTCGGCCCCGCTTGATTCCTTGCTCCGTTTCATAAGACGTTTTGTAAGTCTGATACTTCTCCTTCATAGGTACAGTTCAATTAAAACTTATATATTTAAATATTCTGAAAAATTTTACCATCTAACTGAGAGATTACGTTTTATTTTGTTTATTAAATATTTTTGTATTTAGTACACTATACGGTACGATTTATAAAATATAGAAGCCTGTTTTCTTATTGGAGGAAAATTTATTGACATGTCTAGCCAAAATAAAGACCGTTTTATGTACAAACAACTATACAACAGTTGTTAACCCCCATTGAGTGTGATAGTATAATATAGTCTCACAATACACCAACGGGTTATAGTTATGTGACAAATTTTATATTCTTGCTGCTGGGCTTAATTTCCAAAAAGTGCTTTTTAAAATGCCATTTTGAATAAAATTATTTTATTTTGAAAAGAAAATTATTTAGATTTTCCGATAAAATAGCTATTACGGTAAAATCCCTGGAGTCTAGTACAAAATGTCTGACACAATAAACACACAACTTCTACCAACAGAACCAACTAATTCAACGCGGTCCAGTGTTTGTAAAATTACGGCAAATCTTGTCCAACATACCTCAGAGCCTCAAGCCAGTACTTTCTACAGTGATGACTTACGGAACTAAAATGTTGAGTTCCGTCACCGCTTGCAGTATTTGGAAGCTTAAACTTAAAGTTCCTCGGAAATCGATTAGGAGGGACTTTCTCGGAATTTCCTTGTACCGAGGATATCAGGACAAACATCCAGACATGACAACAAAATAACTATCTATAATAAGATATCTACACATAGGGCCTTGACGAAAGAAGGGGTTTAGCGTGGCGCTTAACACTCCAATTGCCAATACATGTTTCGAACAACGTGGGTCATATTACTATAACGGTTTTATGGTCGGCACAGCAAATGGGTAATTTTGACCAGAAAAATCCACGCTCTTAGAATATTTTTACGCTAATATTCTAGGGGGGGAATTTTTTTGGTCAAGTAGTAGTACCAGAGTCATGATGTATGTAGCATGGTGAGTATTTAGAAACGAGGACACGTTTTCCTGATAACGTGACATTCCATCACAATCTTGGGAGTGACTACTCTTCAAAATTTTAATTCTCGATCAGGAAGGAATACGTGGATAATTAATCTGTTTTATTCAAAAATTCATATGACAATCGTTACAAAAAATAAATAAAATTGATTTTATGCCATAAAATTATTTATAGCAACATTAGATAACCTGTTATTACTCATTTGGTTTGTAAGATGATTTAACTAGAATACAAATACCCAAATTAGAAAGAAATAAAATTATAATAATAAAAATATTACTTTTCATAAATATTCTATGTAATTATATGTAGAATAGCCGTGTAGTGGCGGTGTAAGAATATCCACTACCCCGTATAGTCCCGTGGCTTTGGTAAGAGTCAACAGAGGGAAACAAACCAGGACCCATCTCCTCTCCAGCAGCTTCTTTCTAACAACAACTACAAAGCGTGGCAACTATGGCAAATATTCACTCTATGAGGCATCTATGGGTGAGACCTGCGTTACGTTCAGCAATAGACTTTTGATAGGCTGTAACGCTAAAATAATGTAATAATATAATATACTTTTGTATTGCTTTTTATATTAAGTAATCTTAAACACTGTAATGATTGGGGTTGTTATAAATTAATTTGCTTAATTCCGCGTAAAGAAAGAAAATGATGTGTGCTGCCCAGTTTTAATGAGACCTCCCACCCTCCCTCAATGGCGCGCACTATACCCGTCGCCGTCAATCCCAGCACTACCATCCCCAGCACCACCACACTAGGCACGACACACCACTCTCGAAAATACGTGTTCCGCCTCTACACGAGGCATCTTCAGGTGAAGTAGACTCTGCGGAGGCTGGCCGCTAAGACAGTCTCTGGCAGAAAGAGGGTGGTAGGTCCCCTTAAAACGGGGCAGGACACATCATTTTCTTTGTTTACGCGGAATTAAGCAAATTAATTTATAACAACCCCATTATAATAGATTTCCGCAAAGTAACGCCTGATTCCATTAAGTACTGTAATGATTTCTTATATTTACGCGAAGACTACACATTACAAACAATTTTTACGGATTTTATCGCGTTTAATTTGCTTTACACCACCAGTGGTCCCCCCCCTCCCCGTGACCCCCGAAACGTCAGGAATTAAAAAGTTAAATTAAACGCGATAAAATTTGTAAAAATTTGATAGACCACAAATCCTCGCAAAAGAACACCGATTCCTCCCAAGGATGATTCGCGAGGCTATTGAAATTAAAAAAACATCCTAATTTCAATAGAGAAGATGGATGGGTGCTGCCATCTGCTTGGGATCCCATAATTAATAAAATCAAATCCAAACCCAAGTATACCACTGTTAGACTTCAATATACTGTAAGCTCATTCTGCGTAAATCGAACCAAAAAATTAATATTAAAAAACTGAAGGTAGCCGGGCTA